TCAGGTACAGTCGATATAATTAATAATCCTTTCACTCGGTAATCGCTGGTCAGTTAATTTACCTAGACTTTTTACAAAAGGTCAATTTCTCAATTTACCTAATGTTCCTTTTTATTCGACGCCTTTGAATAATGCTCACCTGTAATAACTAACTGGAACAGTATACAAGTATGCGAATCACTATCAACCGTTATCACGACCATTTTTCGAAACACCAGCCTGGCTTGGATTTTATTTCCTGACTCCGTCCACGGAAAGAGACAGTGCTTGTGCAGTTGTGGAAATTAGAAAGCGAAAAAAATAACGATACTTACTGCCAATGTCCAATGGGTACAGTCTCAACATAAATGTAGTGCACTTAAAGCAGGTGGGGCATCCAGATAGTTAATTACTCATGGACAGTAATCAGAGCCCCGATCCTTTGTGTTAGCACTGTACATTAATTGGTTTTCTCTTAACTGTGTATATATATATATATTTTTTTTTCGTTATCCTTCAAAACGCAATCATACAAAATTACATCAGTACCCCGTTTACACAGCTTACAAACGACCCACAGTTAATCGCGAGTTCGCGATCCTCGTTTAGTCAACGTTACGTCCACACAGAAGTCCCCGTTGATTCGCAAAGTCTTCGCGTTTTCCTTGACGAGCAAGTTCATTCGCTTTGGCTCTTCGGGCGACCATCTTTCCGAGAGTTTGTTACCTTTGACTTTGGCCACACTCGGAACTTTATTTACACGGGTAGAAAACCGTGGAGGGTCTTGGGGAGGCCAGTCGTGACTTCACTCCGGGCTATCAGATTTACTTGAACCTCATTAATTATTTAGTATGAGTAGGAACGAAGTTATGATAATGTACCGGGTGTTTCGTAATTGACTTTTATAATTATCAGGGAGTTGCCTGTTTTTTCATTGACGCTCTTATCACTTCTATTTCTATTTGCACGGACAAGCTGAGATGTGCCTGTTTACGTGACTGTGTGTCTAAGATTTAAAAATAAATATAAGAAAAACGTCGCGCAGTGCTTCGCAAATAAATAGTCAGTGAAACGAACGTGACTTAATAACGTGAACGTGACGATCGATGATAGGAATCATTTACCGAAGTGTCAAGTGTCTCTTACCCTCCGAGTAATTACTGGAAAATGCCATGTGAGGAGATAGCAGGGACACGAGAGCAGGTGATAACGCGAAGCGATGGCTTTGATGCGGTATCTGGCAAAAACAATCAGGATAAAGAGACATTAAATTGTTTACACTCGTCATACGTTCACATAGTCGATTGACTTTTTTGGTGTGGAGTGACCCTTTTCTTTAAATCAATATTCCCACGGAACAGTTATTCAGTCGAAGACTGACTTTTGTGCAAAACGTATATAGGACTAACACACCGAGTGGAAGAATCGTGGGAGTTACGTGAGTTACGTATTTTTATTATACAAGGGTCAATCGGTGTTGGTTGAACTTTGACACTGCGAATTTCTCTTTTTATCGGAATCATTTGGGACTGGCATATCTGCATCACGCATAGGGTGAACGTAATAATAATTATTGAACTCACGGAGTATGCTCGTAAAAGGGCATCGGTCCGATTAGCACTGTCTCTCGGGAAATCGTGAAAGAGTTGACAGCATGAACGATTACGTTGGCTGGGAGACCCACGATGGTCCTTCGAAGATGGCACGAAGGGATTCTGGCACCATGAAGGTCACTCTGCCCGTGACTTCCTTCAGGAGGCACAGTGGATGCGTCTCGACGCTAATCAGGAACAAGCAGCATCCGAGACTACTCTACTTTGCTATGCCGTAAGTTTTCGTGAAATTTCGAATCACGAGAGGCTCGTATGAGCTGATTTGAAATTTATTAAGGTGTAATTTTTTTAATTTCCAACTATTTTTCGACAAATTATACATTGCGTCGATTATGGTAGACGTTTTCAATGTGTCTCAAAGGAGACATACCTGTCACGTATATAACTGTATCGCGCTTGATTAACACAATCATCACAGTGTTTGTCTCGGAGGTGCTTATGACGTCAATAACATACAGTAGTCAATAACTATGTAAACTGTAACTATAACCTACTACTTTCCGTGCTCCATTTCGCTTGTATCCTATTTTTCGTATATATATATACACACGTCAGCAGTAATCGTAGATCCACCCGTATGGGTATACCTATCGAAAATTAATGTGACGTATACCATTAATGGTTATTTCAGTGTTTCCAATGTTACCAACAATTTGTCCCGTCAAGACGACACACTGGGAAGGACCAGTACCGTAATTTTTAATTGAAATTACTTTGGAGTTTACGCAATTAAATAATCAATTTTCAAAATTCACGATCGATTCTTCGTGAAAATTCAACGACGTGTACGTAAGTGACATTTAGGATGGCGTAAAACGTCTTTTTATTATACATTGGGTCTTAATGTTACACACGCGCATGCGTACCATCCGTGATCGTAGAAATGCGCATGCACTTGAGTTTGCCAGGAAAATCACGTATATTCGGAAAATTTACCTTTCATAATCGTCAAAGGATATCGAGAGTCCCTTCGCATACGTTACGCGCGGAATGTATGATTCGCGATAATTTCTACGTGAACGGATATTGCATAGTTTCATGAAATTGATGCATGGTCCATGGATTTTCCGATGTGCGCGAAAAGGTGTTCCGTAATTTATTAGGGTTCGAGGATTACTTTGCAATTTATTACAGTTAATTTTCAGTGTTTCATATGACGTAATGCGATCCTTCTATCATCCTTCTTACATCGGACGTACAAATTTTAATTATATGCTTCACTCGATTTTCTGATATATACATAAAATCAGTTTTTTTATTAATCGAATTTTTTTACTATATATATATATATCGCAGGTGATATAATTATTTTTCTCGAGAGAAAAACAATCATATATCTATATAAAAAAAAAAAAAAAAAAAAAAAAAAAAAAATCAAATTCCTTCAATTAAGATTAGCAATCAGTAAGCGTCATGACATTAACAAGAAGCTGATGACAATTGCCTCGGAATAAATGAAAAAATCCCACGATCCTACGTAAAGCGCATGGCCGATCCGTAATTAACGTAATTGCTTAAACGTTCATAAAATTGCATATTTAATTTCGAACCTGTTCGACGTTCGATAATAAATTTCTAAAATGCCTACAGTTATAGGCCTCTCGAAATGCCCAAGCAAAGTACATATACGCCGAATCGTTTATCGTATTCCTTGATAATAATCTCCTCGAGTCCAGTCGAGTCGGTCCATTTCAGCAGCGAAGATAACAATCTGGTAATTAAACGCTGATTAGTATACTTAAGCGACGTCCCGTTTGCGATTTTTTTTTCCCCTACAGCCTATACAATCAATATCGGCAGATAAGCTTGTAACCTATCGATACAATTAGACATGACGTAACAAGCACATATATGTATTTTGATTTAAAAAAAAAAAAAAAAAAAAAGATAATTTCACCAAGTACACATATCAAGCAAGGCTCCTGATATCGCTTCCGTACGCGATAGCTGATAGGTCTGATGATAGGAAATTCTTGCACGTCAAAATTGTAGCTACGGTCCAATCCAAGTGATACCATCGTCTCAATGATAAATATATGTATATATATGTATATTATAAAAGATATATATATATATATATCATAAAAAATAAAATACACAATAATGTTATCTAATCGTTTCTTTTTTGTTCTTTTTTTATGTCAATAATAACGATACACGATTAAAAGTTGCGTCTAGCATTATTGTGCAATTCTCTTTGCAGCAGAGATAAGCAATAAATTTTAATCCACTCGTAATCGCTCGTAGTACGTTTAACCACTGAATAATTCCTCCTCCGCATCCACGCAGTCGACAATGAACCATTAAAGGTTGAATGGCAAGGCTAGAGGATTAATTGCGGCTTATGTAATCGCAACGTAATCGCGTACGCGAGCTCCGTCCGGAAGAAACAACGTGTCAGGCATTGTACGAAGCATAGCGTACACGTATCGGTTGTGTTAGCTGACTGTATATTATATATACATATATATAAGGATTGCTTTCACGGGTATAAAAAAATCCCGCTCGTAACAACTCGCATCCTGAAACTGGACACCAGGCAGAATGAAAAAGGGGCTTGTCCGTTTTTCTCTGTATACCTCAACTGAAGTTGGCCGGTATCGCGTCTCTGCGGCCAACTTCAAAGTGTCACGCCGATCTTTCGGTAAGCTTGGTAATCAAACTGGATTCGCCGACCGTGTCAACAAACGTCGAACAGATACGCTATATAGGTTATTAGGGTGACTCATGCTGTATATCTAATAGACCCCATTGACGTAACAATGCATTTACGAGACATATGTGCAAAAATTTTTGGTCATCCTTTTTTTTATCGACGTATACACACACGAATTGGATTCCACCTATATTTCAATCAGCGGTTAGGTTTTTCATTATCGATAACGCGAAAACAGATGTCCGATAGAACCAGGCAGATGGGTCGGTTCGTGACAAAGGGTCTGTTGCCGAAAGGTCGACTTTCGGTCGCCGTTCGATGATACTGACTTAACGGTTGATTCTATTCTTGTTTTTTTTTTTATCTCGGCCAGTGACGTTTCTATCCCGGGATTGATTCTGTTGACGGCTCTGGGTTACTATCAGAAATAGACTGGTCGAGGGTGAACCATTTTTTTGGAATTCTTAGTTATGATGTTTTTGGACTTTAACTATCTTGCCATTCTATTTTAGAAAGTTTTAATAATATTTAGACGGAGTATGCTCGGGCTCAAAGGCTTCTTGGCTATTTGAAGCTAATTATGGATTATTATTTTGAAAAGTTTTTTTTAATAACGTCACTACTTGAACCGCCTCGTAAACCGATTCCAACGCGATATACTTTTTTTACAGGAGATATCGAAAATTTTTGCCAAGTTTCCATTGTGTTTCCATTGCTTTTGGTTAACGAGCTTCGCTCATTTATTTTTTCAGTTTCGACGTGGAGAATGGCGCCTCGACGCTGGACGGCGGCGCGGGGGGCGGTGGCGGCGCTTCGCCGAGCGCCGGTCTCGTACTACAAACTCTACCCCAGAGACGAGAGAGCTTCCTCTACCGAAGCGACAGCGATTTCGAAATGTCGCCGAAATCAATGTCGCGAAACAGTTCCATCGCTAGCGAGAGGTAAGCTCGTATGTTGATATTGCATGATTTAAAAAAAAAATTGTTTATCGATTAGCTCGATTGACACATGTCAAATTGAGGGTTTGAGATATCTGATGTGATGGACCGCACAATGGACGAGAAATTTTTTTTTCTTTTCGTTAAATTTCTTAGGGTACCTTCTGTCTAATTATATGAGCCGTAATGACGTGATAACGTAACGTAATCGACGTCTTTGAGAAGCTAGTAAAGCATTTTTGTTACTTAGGTATCTAACAAAAATTATTGAACCTAAGGATTAGTATATTTACGGTTTCTGGGAAAAGTGCAAGCTCACGTTGGTCATATGTCTCAGTTTGACGTGTTACGACGTTTAATTTTTTGAATTTTTATTCTGCTCCTAATAATGCCCCCCTTATACCTCGTACATTGTGCCGGTCGGTAATGAAGAAGTTGAAAAAACTTTTTCAAAAAAAAAAAAAGCATCGTCCTTTGGTCCAGCTTCGTGTCACTGCACCGCACGAAAAATTTGTGCCTAGTAATATTCGTTGCGTATAAATTGGACTTTGGTAATATCTATCAATTGGCTCGTTTTCATGCGCATTTCAAAAATATAAATATCCACATTCTATTAAAGCTAATTTAAATTATGTATTATGTCTTGGGATTATGAGTCGCGAGTAGACAGTGATTTTCGTGTTATAAAAAAATCGTTAAATAACATGCTACGTAAATATATGATTATAATTATCAGAGTAATTTATTGTTTTTAAACAGTATTAAATATAGCTGCAGATGTAACCGTGCATTATAATGCATCTCTACAAATTTTATGCAGTAGATGATACGTGTTATAAAAGTATAAAGAGAACCATTAGATTCAGAGAACGGTCAAAATTACATTGAATAATAATTATTTTTACAGAATCGATCTACAAAAAAATTCATTCTCCATGGCAGTAATGAACTGAGCTACTCTGGATAAAGTAGAGAATCTCCTGGCTAAGTCGGACATCGTAATGCCTGTTTCAGTTTTTAGCTCGGGAAAATTCGTCAGATTGTCAGTGTAGTCGGTAAGGTAACTTACCGACCGAATCATTACGGCGACTACGACTTATCCACTGTCGGCACAGAATCTGTCGGTAAAACAGTTTAAAAACCCTACCGTATCGTCGGTAAGGTAGTGCCCTCGCTGTTAAATACTAGATAATCGAGTGACTCTATTTTCACGCGTAGATAAACTATGTATCTAAGTTCGGTACAGGTAGGTGGTTAAATACAGAATAATATATGAGCTCTATTAATGACGCAGTTGTTTTTCATACCTGCTTCGGCAAAACAACGAGAATCAAACAAAGGCGTAGCTTTTTGTGCTTTTTATGAGCCTTCGTTAGCAGCCAGTGAATAACATTTTAAAAGGTTTAATCTCATGTATCAAGCGTCACGAGCAGTGGCGCTGAAAGACTTTTCGTAAAGGAGAGTCAATACCTACGGCAATGAAATTAACTGCTCGAACTCTTGAAAAATGTCTTCACGCTCAAATCGGCTGGAGGAATTTCTAATTATAAACGCTCGTTGTTCGATCGGTGCAATTTCGTTCCGCCTTTCCCAGCTTCGAAGTCGTCTCTAGTGACGTCACTATCGACCTAGCACGTCACGATGCGATTCCAGGTTAACCTTGATAGCTCGTACTCGACGAGCGGCCGGTAACTTCAACCAAGACTTGTCTGTCTGGCTGACTGCCATTCCTCGATTTTCTACCGGGGCTCAGATTTCGCATTCAGCCGCGTTCACAGTCCGTAACGAACCTATTGAAAGAAATGACTCGAAATTGTCAACTCTGATTATTCGATGGAATTATGACATTCAGCAATTGTAATATCTAGGTCAAATATATTTTTCTCCTATTTTTCTTTTTTCTCGGTATTTCTCTATGTTCTTATAACTAGATACGCATTTCAAGTAAATGACAAAGTCGACATTTTTTGTCGCGCCCAATTAGTCTGGCGACAGGATAGTGATTTCGTCCACGTAGATTTTCAAACAATTTTTATGCGAATCCTCTAATTTAACCCTTTTAGTGCCGGACGACGATATATCGTTGCGTATGCGATGGCACCTTATTCTTCGCATCGCGAGAAAGCTCTATCACAAAATAAATGTTGAAATACAATTAGCATTACATTATTCTCTCTTTCGTCCGTAGTACTCTGTTTTTTGAATTATGTAATTATCATTGTTAGTTTGATTTTTATGACCTTTTTCCCAACTCGTAGTAAAATTCGTCAAATTCGTCCGGTTATTCTCGCATAGGCACCGGTTTTTCGCCCGGCACTAAAAGGGTTAAGGATATTATAGGTAGTCTCGCGAATTTTTTTTTTTTCGCAAAAGTCGGTTGAACTTATTTATATGTTCGGACAAACAATTACTTTATTCTTTGATTGTTTTTTTTTTTTCTCAAGCAAGGTTCATCATGTACCATGAACATTGCTATGCAACCAAAAACTGATACAGGTATTTGGTTAGTCGACCTTTGCCTAAATGAAAAAGCATTTTCATTATTACCATGGAGTTCGACGAAGTGTAATATACACTAATGTGCAATATGAATTCGTAACAAATCGTTTTTCTGATACTGAAGTAAAAGACAAATAATTTATGTACAGTGTACGACCATTCACTTCGAAGAGCGTGCTCGAGCAATTACATATGTACATAGTATATTTAATTTGAAAGAAACTTATATATATTCATCTTGCCGATTCTCCTTATCATTTCTTATCTGTAATATGTTATTCCTCTATTTCTACCGTTCTCTGTGTGTAGTTATGAATTATCATAGCTTTTTGGTGGCGATGGTGCTTTTGACATAATTGTTATATACCCGTGTATCCTTCGTTAATCCTGTGTTAAAATGTCCACATACTTGTGAGGAACGACGAGTGAAGGGTGCAGTAACGTGATGGTTTTTGTTACTATGAAAAATTTGCAAAATTACGGAAGATCCGTTATCGTGGAAATTTCGTTTCCAAATGTTCCCGTTCTCTTGACTCACGGTCGTAAAAACTTGTCGGATTATAAAAGTTAATTTCGATTTAATTAACTTCTGTATTTTCATCGAGTTTAACCGACCCGAAATACAGCGTCTACGCCTTAAAGCCATTTTTCAACGAGTCTCCTCGGGCGTCCGACGTTAAATTCAAATTCGTATAATAAATTTCGAAAGTACACAGTGACGAATAAACGGAATTTAAAAAAAAATTTTTCTTTTATAACTTTCACAAGTAATCGTTTAAACAATCCTTATCGTTATTCCACGTTTCCGCCTTACTGCGCTTTTCCTAGCGATATCGGGTGCGGGATGTGATAACGTCACATGTGTCATCCTTGGGTTGCAGGTTCAAAGAGACAGAGCCGCCTGTCGAGCGAGCGTATGTACTCTTTACATCCTATTTTATGACCTCTGAATTTTTTTATTCTACTTTTTCGTTTTTACTTCTATAGTTTTTTTTCTTCTTAATTTCACAATTTATCCACTAAACACTACGTTCCTTAATTATAATCACCCTGAATACCACATTGTACGATAATCTTTGACTTGTATCATATACACCAAGCTAACCTAACCTAACACGTGCTCTATTCGTTCGTTTATCCATATTGTTGTGCATGATGGTTTTCCTTGTGATTCTGAAGTCTTTCTCGTGCCAAAAATCTCTCTTTCTCCCTTTAGCCACTTCCCAGCTTCTGCCTTTGTACCCAGTCAGTTGTACGTCGATTCTTTATTTTTGGCATGAATGTCCACCGCTACGCCAATCTCGTCCCAACGTATAAGAATATCTCGGGTACATTGAATTTTGCACAATTTTCTGGCTCCGAACGAGAGATCTTTGGCTGGCATAATTGCGCTTGCAAATGCATCACGTTTCGCCAATACCAACCAAACGCTTATTACGTCACTCATTGTATACTATATCGCATCCTTTTTTTTTTTTTTTCAAATTAACGTCAAATTCGTTCAAGGACACTGCATCCATCCAAAATGGCCTGGTCGATCTGTTTCTTTTTTAACTTTAATCAACGTATGTAGGATTTTTGATAATTAAGTAATTTGTAACGATTACACATGCCTTGCCTACGCATCGGTTGCTCGAAAGTCAAAGTTGCTCCTTATAGAGATACTTGAAATATATACTTTGGATTTTGAACTTGTATTTTTTTTTTTTTTTTTTACGATAACACTTCTTTTCGTTATCTGCTTCGTTATTGCAGGATTTTTTTTTTCATTGTACAAAATTTTGCTTACGCTTTGCAGCGACGCGAGTGTGATAACGCAATTTTTTTGTTTTATTCGATATATTCACAACTTGGACGCTCGATATTTTTACGTCTATTGACTCGATGACGAAATTGTGTTCATCTCGAGGGATGTGTATTCTTACAGCATGTCGAAAATATTGGAACTTTGTCGAATAAAGATGAATTGTTATTTTCAGGATATTTACCGATCAGTACAGGTAAGTCCTTTAATTACGTATATACGTGAATGCCGCAACATATCGTTACAAGATTGGTACGTCTTTTGATAAATTTTTGTTTTCATGCCTTGTAGTATTATATATATAGCGATCGTTAGTGTGACGTCAGTAGTACCAGAGGGTGGTGGTCGGTTTTTGGGAATTTTCGTTGACCTTAACATTTATTATATGCGTGGCTACTGATAAAATAATCATAATGGCAATCCCATGAGCAGGCACTATTTACTCATGGCAATTGAATTGAGATCGCGATAAAAAATTGTCGTCGCGTCTGCTTGTCAAAATTCACCCACGTCCCCCTTGAACTTCGAGACAAACGTCCTACGCGCCGAGAGTGAAAGTATTTTGAAGATTTCGCAAAAAATTTATTCATTCGATGGCGAACTTACGCTCGGAGAACATATCTGTCACGTAGCTAGCAGACGAGTCGCTTAACTCTTATAATTTCTCTTTAATGAAAATCTCGAGCAGTGATCTTCAGAGACGCAGTAGTTTGACGTGATTTGTTTGATTTATCTGATAGGACTTATTTTTTGACGTTATAAAAAAAAATGTTCGATAACAATTAATATCGAATAACGATACTCGTCATTATTTCTCATTTTTTTTAACGCTGGCTGTAGAATTTTTATCGAAAATTTTGAAAATCTTTCAAACTCATTTATCTTCGCGGCCGATAACGTTTTGGTGATTGCATTCTTTCATGTATCTCTTCATAGTAAAACAAGTGCTTACGTTACACGAACAATTTCGCGCTTTACGTACTGCGATTAAGAACACGCGAGCTTCTCTGAAAAATCAATGTTTCCGTCTGCCAATTCCCACGTCTAGTCGCTAATTCGAGCATATCGAACCGAAATAATCGACGAATCCTGCTCTAGTCCGTTTAATGAATAAAATAGTACAAAATGAAACGTACTTCATTGTTGTTATTGCCTATATAGGTAGACATAAAAATATATACTCATTTCGCTACGTTTATACGAAAATACTTAATTACATATTTTCTAATTTTCTATCCACATAAGCAGCTATAACGATACGACAGACGTTCAAGATTTCGCTGAAAATTTCAATGATTTCGTCGAACGTTGAAAGTCACTTCGAATATCGAGAAAAATAATCAGTGGTCGTTCAAGTAATTTGAATTTACCTTCGGTCGACGGATGTCTTGGCTAATTAATCCGAGCCTAATTAAAGAATTAAAATAACTCGAAATAGCCCGAGGGAACTTTTTACGAAGGTATCGTGTCTCTCGAGATAGTCCATACAATTTTTTCAAACGATTCTCAGCACATTTTTCTGTAATTCTACTTGAGTTGCATCGAAGTCTAATACATTAATGTTCCCATACATAAATCTTTCACGTATCGATTGATAAGCGAGATCAACGTTTGAGTCGATACGTTCATCGACGAGCATTAAAAAAAAATTTTGATCCAAAACTGATCTATTGTACAGTATATTGTACAGGGCGTTTCAATAAAATTGTCGATACACAGTTTTTGGAGTATTCACCAAAAACACCCTGTACATTTGATGTTACGATCTGGCTCCGAGATAATGCCAAAAGTATTTGAACCTCGGTGACGTCACGAAGTGCAAAGTTTGAGTTCGCGACGACTGCAGATTCAATAAAGTCATGAGATTAGTTGCGTTAAACAAGTTGATTCGCACCTGTAGAAAATAATGGGAATTTACTTCTTTTCGCGAATCGCAGAGGGATTCGCGAACTGGAAAAAAGCTCATCGTCACAGTGTCGAATTACGTATGTATGTATTTGCGTAACACAATTTGTGTCACGTGCAATTTCTATTCGTAGCAATATTTTTCGAATTCTGCCGAAGGTTTTTTTTTTCATATACATAAGCACTATACTCAGTTGTTTGTGCTGGGTGTACTCACCGTGAAACCCAGTGAATACAGTGAATGTCATACGTATTTCTATGGCTTTCGTGTTAAACTAGATAAAAAGGCAGAATGTCATCCTATTTTTTGCGAAATATTTATTTTTAGTCGGAGTGAAAAATTTGCGCAAATACCTGTAGAACGTGATTTCGCGAAAATAACGTTTTTCCATGCAATGTAAAGTTATGAAATTTCCATGCTATTTCATAGGAGGTCATAACGGATTGCCGAACGCGCCAGTGGAAAGGGTCCGCGTATAGTCAGACTGGCGTCCACGCGAGAATAACTGGTCCCCTTTCGTTGTGAATCAACGATTTACGCTCTCACGAGCGTAATGCTTCGAAATTCTGGATCGTAATCAAGTTCTAGTAGAAAATCACATCCGAGCCGTTCCGACGCAACAAGGAACGACGATAACCGTGATGGAATCGTACAATTCGCGAACCTCAAATTCTATATCTCTGAGATCCCAGCAAATCCATTCCGTATAACCCAATAATACGTCTCTCCAATATACCCGACCGATTATCAGATTCTGATTCTTCGCTAGAACGGATATTGCATAGTGGCGTGCAATTTCTGCCACGCGTTTCTTACGGTTTTATGACCTTTCCTCGTTCCTCCTCGTTGTCCATGAGGCGGTGGGTGGAATTGCTTTATCGAGCTGCGGCACCCTGTGGCAGGTAATAAAATTCCAGTGGCCTTCCGGATTCCCACTTTTGCTCCCACCTACACGTTCGTAAGTGCATGCTCCGGTACCAGCCGCGGAATCTTTTATCCTGGTCCAGAGCAGAAGCTGAGATCAATCGATCGTCCCTGGCGTTTGGTTAGTATGAAAAAAAAAAATATCAAAATAACATCGCGTCATACCACCTACGTGATCATATTATCTTGGGATTAAAAGTTCATTCCCATATCAATCTTCGACACGAATCGAGAGCCAAAAGATTTGTCGAACTCGAAAATTGTCATATTTAAATATTCATCTGAAATTCATTGAAAACTTATGTAAATTCTATTCGACTCTAATACGGATCACGTACTTCGCGGTACAGTCATCCCAGCAAGTATAGCTCGTTGCAAGGCTTTCGGTGGTCTCTCGCATTGGCACGCTGTCGCGTGTCCCCGACGCAACTAGAATGCCTAGGACGAAGAAGCGTCAGTGTCGTCGAAGAGGAATTAGGGAACGATTAAGAGAGGGTAGAAGGATCAAAGTGATGCGAGAGAGACAGAACGAGATACGCCTACGTACGATCGAACGAAGCTGCTGGATTAGTGTGTTCGGTCTCTGGCTATATTTTCCCTCTGTGCTCTCTCTCTCTCTCTCTCTCTCTCTCTCTCTCTCTCTCTCTCCCTCTCTCTCTCTCTCTCTCTCACACTCACTCCCTCTCATCTCGTCACATACGTCATGCACGATCCTACTATATACGTATACAAATCCATCTACACGTATTTCTGTCCAACTCCCACGACCTACCCGCCCTATCGTCTCATCTCTCTCCTATCAGCCAGCTCGGAAAAGGACGAGACGCGCAGTCGTGAAGCGCAGGCTACCCGCGTAAATCGTGCCGCCAGCAGTCAGTGCCTTCGTTCCTCTCTGTTCCCGTCACTCTCGCACTCCCTCTACCGCCCTATACGACCCTCTCGCTTTCTCTCACTCTCTCTCTCTCTCTCTCTCTCTCTCTCTGTGACTCTACCCACCAGTTCTCTCCCTTCCAACAAGGCCTCTCCGAATCCCGCGAAAGCTGAGCACCCTGGCCAGTCCGAGAACGTGGCAAACACGACGCGCCGTTAACACACACGGCTACCTGCACCCTCGTACTGTTGCGTGCCGATTTTCGCGTACGGATAACCTCACGGCGACTACGTGAATTCAAGTTGGATTATCGAGTAGCACTTGTCGCGAATATCATTCTACGAGTGGTAACGCTCTGCTTTTGGGAAATTGTAAATTTCGCGAAGGCCGACTGATTTTTCTGCGAGGATCGACGGGATTGGTTTTTAATATTTTTTTTTATTCATCCTCGTACACGAAGCGTGGAAGATGATGTTGAGATTCGTTGAGCTCGTGGTTTTAGGAGTTGAACCCTATTTTGTATTTTTTTCTGGAAATTCGTAAGTCAATGCAACGGCGGACTGAGTTTGGTGAGTCTTCATTGGTAGGAGAAAAATTGTTTTTTCGCGTCACTGCGATTTTGCCTTTCCGTCGCGGGATTTGTATATATGCGACATTGAGATAGGTCAGTTGAGTGCTGTTCGCACGTGCCAGTGTCTGGATAACGTCGAATCACTTTCGAGGTGTAAAGATAAAAATACGAATTTTTGTTACGTAGACTCGTACCGAGTTTTCAATTGCATCGAAGATAAAGAAATGAGGAGTTTATCGCTGATAAGGATGCTGATTCTATCGCTTCGATATTCTCTTATCGATCTTAGGATTTGATATTATTCAACTTTTTACGTAAACATTGATACTTCTGTTTATGGTAATAGGCTCTTCATACTATTTTAAGATCAATATCCGGGGCTCGTTGATATTGAATCTGTAGCTCGGCCATTTTACCCACTCAATATTTAGTGTATACACCGGAAATACTTTTTCTTAGTCTGAAGTAATTTATTGCACTGTCAATATCGGTATTTACTGTATGGGCGTCTGCGGTTATAAAATACGATCCGATACGTACTCTGGCGATGAACTGTCTTTCGTCTATTACGATATCGTCAGCCACTACGTTCTGTTCTGTGACGTGTTCCTCGTGCGTTCTAAATTTAGAAAGCAGACGACAAGGCCGATCATTACAGTTTCTAGGGAAGTAGACCCATGGTCGGTTTTAAGGCTGAACCTTTTACCGGCTTCCCGTATATGCAGTTCTCGATCGGGTCTGATATACGATTTATCTTAAAACGGGATCAACCCTTAGGCCGACGTAACCGCGAAAGCCTCGAATCTGGATACAAAGCAAAAGGCAATGAAAGAGACGGGAAGATAAATCGAAGACCAAGAAAAGGATAGAAAAAGTGTCGCACGGAAAAATGGAGGGTATTGCGATTTTTCACGTAAATAATTC